AATGTCAGCCAAGTATACTTTCTGTCTGTCCTTTATGTCCATGAGCTCAATGGTTACCCACACTGGTCCCCACAATCTTGTAAAAGTCCTATCACACCATAAAGCTTCTGTATGGCTTCTGGTACTCCTTCGTGATCTAACACCTTGATGCTCACAATGGTTTGCTGAGATGCAGAATCTATGACAAAGTTGCACCTTTGGCCATCCAGCTTTCCTGTCACATAGACACTGTGTGTGCTTGGCATTTTACACCTAGCTGTAGGGATTTTCATGATGGGGGTTGGTGGGCATCCCTCATCACCAACCACTACTGGTTTCCTTGAGGCTGACTTGTTGGTAATATTCTTCTTACAGTGGCTCCTCATATATCCTTGCTATCCACAGTTCCAGCAACCTTTCTGGGTAGCAGCCTTTTCTGTTGTATCATCTCCCCTGTGTTGAAGTTTCCAGCATTGAGCTCTCTTATGCCCAGGTTTATTACAGTGCCAGCAAAGTCCCTCAAACTTCTCTGAAAGCTGATCTTTTCTGGCCTTGAATCCAGATGATTGTACCAACCTTGGTACCTCTGTGCTGGACTTAACGTAGGATTCAAATTCGAGAGCTCTGGCCATTGCATCCTGCATGGTAGAGGGGTGTGCTTGCTTTACGTGTATCTTTAGTTGTGGACTGTCCAAGGCATCTACGAACTGATCTCTCAGCAACAACTTGAGGAAATCAGGTGGCGCAGCTACGTAGGCCTTGTGTGTCATGCTTTCCAAGTTCTGTGCCAGCTCTTGCAGGCTCTCCTCCATAGCACGGACTCTCGTCCTAAACCTAGCTCTGTAGACTTCAGACTGATTTTGGGTTCCGTACCTGAGTTCTAGAGCCGACACTAGTGTTCTATAGTTGTGTCTGTCGGCTGCTGTCAACTGTCCAAGTATTTCCAGTGGTTGTCCCTTCAAGCTCGTTGCCAGATATACTGCTTTCTGCTCCTCTGTCCATCCGTTCATCTCTGCCAGTAGCTCAAACTGTGCTCTATATGCTTCCCATGGTGCTTTCCCATCGTATTACTGTGGCTTCCTTCGTACTGGATCACTCCTAGTACTGACAATGATATCTGGGATGTGACTTCTAACAGAACTGAAGATGTCTGCATTAGAGTTTTGCTGCGAGCTCTGGAAGGGACTTGCCATTGTCTGGGGCTGATTAAGTCGATGGTTAATGTATCCTCCTTGTGCAAAAGACAATAAACATCCTTTAATGTGTATAATTAGTT